TTTCAAGCATTACCCCAAACTTGAACCCCATTGTGATCATACAGTTAAACATGGTGGCGTCCAAAGGGAAAGAAGCTAGAGCAAAGGAGTCCCCAACAAGTTTTAGATACTTGTAAACCGTTCAAAGGGTGAAGGTTACACCCCTTAACGATCAAGAAGATCGTTAACTCCAACAGGTCTGGAACCATTACTGGAAGTTCGGGGATTAAAGTACAAATCCAACCTAAATGAGATTGAACTTGCCCTAATAATAGACATCTACTTTATTCTTCTCGTATTCATGTGTGCTTTCTCACTAACATGCAATTAGTAGATTTACCCTAAATCTGTTTAATCTATGTTGGTTGAATATTAATGAAAAAATAAACTATTATTGGCGATCACTTGAATTATAATCAAAATAACCCTAACAAGATTATTAATTATCTTATCAAATGTGATTACAAGTACTAATTCCCTTTAAACATGCATAAAATGTGTGATCAAGCAATAACAATAAATATATATCAAGCAACATGATATTAACAAATTATGTATAAGTTATCAGTCACTTAATAAATAATCGGAAATAATTCGTAAATTAACAAATTACGTAAAAAAATTCGCAAATTAACAAATTATGTGAAATAATTCGCTAATTAACAAAATTACGTGAATCAAATCGCAAATTAACAAATTACGTTAAATTATATAATTCGACACAACAATAATCATAATCATAATCATGTTATAGCATAATATTAATGAGTGTCATTTATAGCATTTATTTGATTCTCTTTAGGATGAATTTTATGTCATTATATAACTATTTTACATAGCTTTTCCTAGATTTTACTCTTTATTTCTTTTAGTTTGCATTTTCTTAGTTGGATTTTTTTCTTTATGCATATCTTGGTTTATTTTGTTACTTTCTCTTTTATTTGTTTGTTTTCCATTATTTTTCAGGTTAAGGTCGTTATTAAAATTTCCCGAGGCCTCTTCCCAAGTTTAGCATTGATTAAGATGCCTAGTGGTCTCCATTTGAAGCTCAAGCATGGGGAAGTGCAAGTTTCTAAAGACCTTGAGCTATGCATTCAAGCCGTGGGGGCATGATTCCTAGTCTTGAACCCGCAAACATGGAGTTTAGAAAAAGCAAGGTTTCGTGTTTATTAAGAGCATTAAATGGAGCGCACGAGGAGCATCAGAATGAAAAGGAAGAGGGCTCCCCTGCTCCCAGGCTCGAGCGCGGGCGACCATGGCGCGGCCGCGCTTCTTTCGGGCGCGGGTGCACCTGTTTAGGTCCCTGTTCCGTACCCATTTTTGCGCAACCGCTCTCTCTCTTGTAGTTGGTGACAGAGTAAAGTCGTATCCCCAAATCAAAAGTAATACCTAAATCCTCTAACTAATGTAGATAGGGAAGTAGGGTCGAACCCATAGAGAAACGGATCTTTCTATTCCTAATTAACCATTATAATCTAGATTATGGGGTAACCAATATTTATATTTGAATAATAAACTAAACTACGGAGATCAAGAATAAGGAGAATATAATATATAAAAGGATCTAGGGCATAGGTTCACCAATAAATAATATTCAAGGGTAGAATATAATAATCATTCATCAATGCATATATTAATCAGATTATAAAGGGCTTTCGCTACGTATTATAATCACACAATTAATTTACCGGTATCAAATCTCATCTTTCGAATCTTGACCTAACCATTTATAAATTAATCTGCCTATTGAAACTAGACCTAAACATCAATTCTCATCTCTCGAATCTCGAATCAATATTGTAAAACTCATGCATACATGATCAGGCCTAATCTAGTTACAGAGCATTAAATCAATCAATAGGAAATTAATCTAGCATTGATAGTTAACAACAATAAATTACCCCTTAATATTATTTATGGATCCCCGTAAACCCTAGAAAGAAAACTACTCACACATAATAGAAATTAAACTAATCAAAGCAATACATCATGACATGATTAAAGGAATGAAACAAACAACTAAGATTAAGAGAAGAGAAATAATTACCAAATAAATCTGGAATTAAGAATAGATTAAGAACAAAGGTTTAAGAGAAAGAAAATCTAAGAAAACAATTAAGAGAGTAAAATAAAGAGAGAGAGAGAGAGAGAGATAGAGAGAGAGAGATAGATAGATCCTAAAAACGTATTACGGAGGAGTATTTATACTCCTTACAAATCCTAAACTAAAACAATCTTAAACGACGAAATTAACTCCTAATATTTACACGTGCCCGATCGGGCGAGGCACCACCCAATCGGGCGCGCCTTTTTGCTCGTCAGTACCAATCTCGCGCCCGGCCAGGGCGTCACCGGGCACCGACCTTCGTTTCTCCCGCCCGGCCGGGCGCGCCTCCGGGTGCCAGCCTCTTTGGTCGGGCGGCTCTCTTGGGCCATTAATTGGACTACGATTGGGCTCTAATTCTTCGGGCCAATCTGGGTTTCCTCTTCCGGTCTTTAATACTCGGTCCAAATGCCCCGGTATCACCTATACCGAGCCCTTAATCACCGGTTCGATGACTCTAACCGACCTTGGGCTATAAAAATCTGGTCTTGCTTCTCCAATGTTCGTGATTGCTCCAAAATATCTCGGGAAAATACTCCAAAAGTATACTTCCCTGCAAAAGTCAACCAAATCTACGAAAACACTAGAAAACACCAATTAGTTATAAAAGTGGCCCTAAAAAGCCAAAAACACTACTAATTATGACCAAGGGACGGGGGTAAAATACTGTATAAAATAGACACATTAGTTGGCCGCGCCTGTTCTGGTTTATTTGGGGACGATCTAACTAATTTCTCTTAGTTAGTTTTACTATATATAGATTTTCTTTCTATTTTTTGGGAGAGTTCAATTTTTCAGAAATTAGAATAGAATTAGGTTAGATTTTTAGAGAGAGAAACTCTAGTTTGTAGAGAGAGAAGTTCTTGATTGATGATTGAAGATTGATGATTCTAAGTGTTTTTCTCCATTGAACTGAAGCAAGCTTGTAAGGATTTCTTACTTTAATGCAACATTTTTTTATCCAAATTTCTTTGTTGATTGTTCAAGTTGATTGGATTTTGAATTGGCATATTTTTTATTAATATGATGATAAATTTGTTGCTTAGTTTAGTTTTGATAATGATTACCATGATTAGTGAGTAGTTTTCTTGCTAGGGAAATGGTGAATCATATATTAGTAATTGATTTATGCTAATTGGGGGAAATTGATGGAATTGATGTTGTGATTAAATTGGTTTATTGATTATGCATGTGTGTATTAAATTTAGGAGTGATCAACCTAAGTTTCTCATACTAGATTGCATTGTAGGTTCACATTAATACGGAAAATTGATTTGTGACTCACATTTGTCGAATGAGTATGTTTGCAACTTTCCTAGCTAGAGTCTCTCGTTGTTGGCACTAGTTTGACCTCTAGGAGATTAGCCTACCATATTCTCTTGATTGCTTAATCGATTTTCCCTCGCAACGCTTGACTCAGTCACCTCCAATCCCAATAAGTTGATTTAATTACGAGTATATGTGGATGCATATCCTAGTGCTTGTTAAGTTTGATTTTCATTTCCGTTGTTTGATTGGTAGAATTGACACACCTCATTTCATTGCTTCGAAATAGCTTAGCTTTGACTTTAGCATTCATTTCCCATTCCTTGTGGTTCGACCCTCGACTTACTCTATGCTTTGTGTAGGGGTGTTTTGAGGGATTATAAATTTTGTTTTGACCAAGGGTAGATTAGTTTTCAACGGCCTAGTCTCGCCCTAGATAAAAAATGGCGCCGTTGTCGGGGAATGGCGTAGATGATTGCTATTGTTGTTCTATTTCACAAAAATTCGAAAATACAAAAAGATTTTATTCTTTAGGCTACATTTGTAGCCGTGCTACTAATATATTCCTTTGAGTTTGTGTGTGAAAGAGAATATGGGAGAAGCTCAAAGGGTTACATTGAAGGAGTTGGGCACTCCGGGTGCATACAAGTATGAGAGCGGGATTGCTCCATTATTAATCCCGGATAGTGACTTTGAAATCAAGCCGACATTGATAACTTTGATTGAAAGGAGGCAATATAGTGGAGGAGTTAATGAGAGCCCCCTAAATCATCTGAAGGACTTCGAGAAATATTGCAACACAATTATGGTGAGCGGGATAGCTCAAGAATTCATAAGGCTTAAGCTATTTCCTTTTTCTTTTATTGGAAGAGCTTAATAGTGGCTAGATACGGAAGTGAAGCCTAATTCTTTGAGAACTTGGGATGAAGTCACCAAGGAATTCCTTTCCCGTTTCTTCCCTAAAAAGAAAACGGCGGAGGCAAGAGCTTTGATTCAAGGTTTCAAGCAAAGGTCTAGCGAAAGTCTTTATGAAGCATGGGAGAGATACAAAGAGTACCAACGTGAGTGTCCTGACCATGGAATCCCCACTTACTTTATCATTCAAATTTTTTATGGCGGTTTGAGTCCTCAAGGGAGAGCAAGTTTAGATGCCGGAGCCAGAGGCCCAAACATGAATAAGACCGAGGAAGAGGTTGTAGGTATCATTGAGGATGTAGTTAGAAATTACATGGAATGGCAAGATAGTGAGAAGGAGTTGATAAACAAGAGTAGTACAATGAGATGCTCGACGGAATAACTCAATGATATCAACAATTTGTCGACTTAAATTTTGAATTTGGCAAAGGAGGAAGTTTCTATCAAGTATAAGCTCGAGAGCGCGACCTCACAAGCACTAATTATTCCCTCCCAAATTAATGGGAGAGGTACTTCTTCCTCTAACTCTCTTCTTTCTTCTTGTTGCTTGATTAAAGAATGTTGGTTTTGTGATTTGTGTGGAATGAATGACCATGATGCTTCTTTTTGCCCTAATGTTCCTTGTAATGAATATGTTGGGAGTGAGAATGAACATATGAACTTAGTTTCTAATAAGAATGTTGGACCTAGATTTGATGCTCAAAGGAATGTTGGAAATAGGAATTATCACAACTAAATGAACTATGACAATTATAACCAAAATGGCAGTTATAGAAACCATGGAATCCAAGGGAATTGTGGTAGCTATAACAACCATAGTTATAATGGTCAAGGTCATGACCAAGGATATGGGGACTATAACCAAGGTCATGGTAACCATAATCACGATAGTGGCCAAAATCAATGTAGAGGTAATTGGAACAATCAAGGTAGGGGAAATTTACAATCGAATGGTCAAAGAGATGCCGCACTTGGATTTGTTCCAAATACCCAAGAGCATAGTGATAACTTGTATGATAAATCATTTTCCTCTAGGAGTTTCTTGGAAGGTGTCATAGAGAAGCAAGCCAAATTGTTGGACACCAAAATGACCCTAAGCAATGGGAAATTCAATGACATGTTAACTTGCCATAAGGGGTTAGAGAACCAAATTTCTCAATTGGCTAATGAGTTTAAGGAATTTACAAATCTTTCTTCTTTGTCTTCACAAAGCTTAGATCTTAAGAGCCCTATGAATGCTATTGTAACTAGAAGTGGTCGGGTCCGTAAGAGTGAAATCTCTAAGAAGAGTGATGTTAATGATAGTCCTCGCAATGGCCAAATTGAGAATGAGGGAGATGAGAATACTTTAGGGTAAGAAGTCAATAAGGAACAAGTTGAAAAGGTGAAAGAGAGAGAAAGAGAAGTTTACAAACCTAAGTTCCCTTACCCCCAAAAGTTTAATAGGCACAAGCTAGACGAGCAATTTGGGAAATCTATAGAGATGCTTAGACAACTGCATCTTACTCTTCCTTTTACCGATATGATAGAACAAATGCAAAATTATGCGAAGTTTTGTAAGGAAATTTTGAGTGGAAAAAGAACTTGTGATGTGGCGAAAACAGTTAACTTGACCGAGAATTTTAGTGAAATCATATTGAACATCCCACCTAAGTTGAAGGATATCGGAAACTTTTCTATCCCTTGTGATATTTATAAAATGCAAATTGATAATTCCTTGTGTGATTTAGGAGCTAGTGTTAGCATCATGCCATACTCGGTATATCAAAGACTAGAGAAGGGAGAACTTTTACCTACCAACATTACCTTGCAACTAGCCGATAGATCAATTAGGATCCCAAGGGGCAAGGTAGAGGATGTTCCTTTAAGGGTAGGAAAGTTCATCATTCTGGTAGATTTTGTGGTCCTTGACATAGATGAGGTTCTACAATTCCTATTATACTCAGTAGACCATTTCTTACTACTTCGGGTGCTTTGATTGATGTCAAAAGTGCTAAGATTTCACTTAAAATTGGAGATGAGGGAGTTGAATTTGATTTGAATGAAAGTATGAAATATCCTTCTTCATTTCTTGAGAATTGCATGAGAGTTGAAATCTTAGATAATCTTGTAAATTCAATGCATGAGCATTTGTTCACAACTAATGATCCTCTTGAGTGTGTTTTGTTGAATAAATAAAAGATAGGTGCTCCTAGCAAGGACATGGCTTTGTATGAGAGCTTGTTGGATGGAAGCGTTGATGGAAGTGATGGGAAAATTTTCATGAAAATCTAAAGCCAAGAGGCTTTGCAAGTGACTTCAATCAAGGAAGGTAAAGGTGTTCCTATGGTAGAGCTCAAACCTTTACCATCACACCTAAGGTATGAATTCTTAGGCCCAAATTCTACTTACCCCATGATTGTTAGTGCATCATTGAGTAAAAGCCAAGCTCAAGAGTTATGCGGTGTTTTGAGAAAGCACCAAGGTGCTTTGGGTTATACCATTGATGACCTCAAAGGTATAATCCCCGCTTTATGTACACACCACATAACCCTTGAGGAGGGTGCCCTTCCTTTTATTAAACGACAACAGAAATTACATCCCCAAATGCGGGAGGTAGTGAAGAAAGAGATCACTAAGCTTATAGATGCGGGAATCATATTCCCCATCTCAAGCTCTAGATGGGTCTCTCCCGTTCATGTCGTTCCAAAGAAGGGAGGCATGACTGTTTTCAAGAATGAAAAAGGTTAGCTAATTCCAACAAGGACGGTCATTGGTTGGCGGATGTGTATAGACTATAGACGTCTAAACACATCCACTAAAAAAGATCATTTCCCCCTTCCTTTCATTGATCAAATGCTTGAAAGACTAACGAGGCACAAATACTATTGTTTCCTTGATGGTTACTCGGGATTTTTCCAAATTCCTATTCATCCCGATGACCAAGAGAAAACTACTGTTACTTGTCCCTATGGTACCTTTGCTTATAGGAGAATGCCATTCGGCCTTTGCAATGCTCTTGCCACTTTCCAATAGTGTATGATGGGTATCTTTGGAGACATGTTGGAAGAGGAGATGGAGGTGTTTATGGATGATTTTTGCGTAGGTGGAGTTTCCTTTGAAGCATGCCTTGAAAATCTTGAAAAGTGTCTGGCTTGTGAGAAAGTGAATTTGGTGTTGAATTGGGAAAAATTCCATTTCATGGTTGAAGAAGGAATAGTCCTTGGGCACAAAATTTCCCACAAAGGCATAGAGGTTGACAAGGTGAAGATTGAGGTTATCGAAAAGTTGCCACCTTTGGTCAATGTGAAAGGTGTGAGATCATTTTTGGGCCATGCCGAGTTCTATAGAAGTTTAATTAAAGATTTTTCACTCATTGCAAATCCCCTCAATGATCTTCTTCAAAAGGATGTCGAGTTTGTATTCGATGACAAGTGTTTGGAGGCATTCAATAAGTTGAATAAAGCTCTAATCTCCACTCCAATTGCTCAAGCTCTAAGACGGGATTTGCCATTTGAGTTAATGCGATGCAAGTGGTACGGCTATTGGACGAGTTTTAGGTCAAAGAGTTGATAAGAAACTTCATGTTATTTATTATATGTCCAAGACTCTAAATGGAGCTCAACGAAATTACACTGCAACGGAGAAGGAGTTCTTAGCTATTGTTCATTCCTTTGAAAAGTTTCGTTGCTATTTGTTGGGGTCCAAAACAATTGTGTTCACTGATCATGCGGCCCTAAAATACCTTATTGGGAAAAAGGAATCATAGCCGAGACTAATTCGTTGGGTGTTAGAGCTTCAAAATTTTGACCTTGAGATTAGAGATAAGAAAGGAGCGGAGAATATGGTAGCGGATCATCTATCTAGGCTTGAGGATTTTCAAGTTCAAGATAATGGGTCTCTCATTGAAGATAGAATGTTAGATGATTCTTTGTATGCTATAGATGTGAAGGAACTCCCATGGTTTCCCGATTTAGTGAACTATCTTGCTTGTGGGGAATTTCCTCCATCATTTTCCAAGAATCGAAGAAAGAAGCTCAAAAGGGAGGCTAGGCGTTATGTTTGGGATGAACCGATTTTGTACAAAAGGGGTGTTGATGGGTTGTTGAGGAGATGTGTTTTAAATGAGGAGTTTCCCAGTGTATTGAAGATGTGTCACTCGGATCCGAGTGGGGGTCACATGGGTGTCTCAAAAACGGCTTTGAAGGTGCTCCAGTGCGGACTATGGTGGCCAAATCTCTTCAAGAATGTTTGGGAATTTATCAAGAGTTGTGACCGATTCCAAAGGACCGGAAACATTTCAAAGAGAAACAAAATGCCCCAACAACCCAATCTAGAGTTGGAGATTTTTTATGTATGGGGAATAGACTTCATGGGTCCTTATCCTACTTCATATGGGAATCAATATATCCTTGTTACTGTCGATTATGTGTCAAAATGGGTGGAAGCCATTGCCTTACCTACAAATGACCATAAGGTAGCAATGCAGATGATAAAGAAGATAATCTTCGCACGGTTTGGCATCCCAAAGGCAATTATTAGTGATAATGGATCTCATTTTGTGCATAGCCCCTTCCGCAAGATGTTGAAGAAACATGGAGTTAATCAACGTTTCGGGCTCCCCTATCACCCTCAAACTAGTGGGAAAGTCGAAGTGTCTAACCGTCAAATCAAATTGATTCTTGAGAAGACGGTTCAAGAAATAAGAAAGATTGGTCGGATAAGCTAGAAGATGCCTTGTGGGCATATAAAACGACTTTTAAAACTCCTATTGGCACTACTCCTTACTGCTTTGTTTATGGGAAGTCTTGTAATCTTCCTGTAGAACTTGAGCATCGTACTCATTGGGCTATAAAGAAAATCGCTTTCGATTAGGCAAGTGCGGGTAAGCAACGTTGGCTTGATTTCCATGAGTTGGAAGAACTTCGATTGGATGCTTATGATTGTGCAAGCATGTACGAGACTCGAACTAAGGAAGTGCATGATCAGCTAATTGTGAAGAAGGACTTCAATGTTGGTGACAAGGTCCTCCTTTTAAATTTTAGGATGAGATTATTTCTCGGGAATCTAATGTCTCGTTAGAGTGGTCCTTTTGTTATTCAAGAGGTTTTCCCTAATGGTAAGGTTGAAAAATCTCTTTTGGATTTTTAAAGAACTTTCAAAGTCAATGGTCATAGGCCCTAGCGCTACGATGATGGAGTTTTTGTGGGGGTTGTTCATGATATGAATCTTTTTGATCCACCTTGAAGGGTGGAGAACGTCAATCTAATGACTTTAAACAAGCGCTTTTCGGGAGGCAACCCGAGTTTCTTACCATTTTCTCTATTTTTCTTGATTATTGTTTTCTTTTTGTTTTTTCTATTCTTATTTGATTTCTTTTCTTGATTGTGTTTTTAGGTGGTTTTGATTGGATTTCCAATGGTGCCTAATTTGAAGAGAGTGTGCTCAAGTTGGTGAATTGGAAGTGGGTTCAAATGGTGGGCTCATAAAAATCTTGTGTTGAACCCACATTCTTGGGGTTTAGAAACTGCTTGCCTCAACCTTTATCATGATCATTTCCCATGTATTCACCGATGTGATCACGAGAAGGTGTTCGGAAGATAGCATACCTAGAAGGGTGCGGGCGCGCAGCCCTGTGGTGCGGCCTCGCACCCCCTGTTGATGCCCCTTAAATGCCCTGATCTTCTCTCGTTTTCTCTCTCTAATTTTCATTTCATTTCTACTTGGTTATTGTTCAAGCATCATCACCATTTTCCTTCATTATTTTACTACTGAAATTTCACCATTTTTCACTTCATCTGGTTATTTATTACTCTTAATCCCTACTCTAACACTTTCATTGTGATTTTCTCTTTCATAAAAGTTGGGATTTTTGGGTACCTCTTTGGTTTGGGATTAGTTGCTTGCAATTTTGCATAATTGTGTTTGCTAGTTCTTTGTGTTCCTTTTCTTTGTAAACTCTCATCAATCTAAGGTATGATATCTTCATTTATATTCATACTATTGATAAATTTTCTACCTTGATTGTTCATGAGTGTTTAGATTGATTTGGTTATAGCCTCATATTTGTATGCATGTTGCCTACTATTTCTTTCTTTTGTTATGTGAATGATGAAATTTTTGTGATTATATGAACTTGTATTTGATGATTTTGCTTGAACATACTATAATTTTGGGCACCACCTTTTTTGGAATTATAGTTTGATTATATTGATTTGGATATGTTAATGTGCATAGTTTATTTTTGATGATGGTTTGGAGTATTGTTGCTCATGATGCATACTTGTGACTCATAATCTTTACTCACTAGAGCATTTTTCAATTATGTGTGTAGAATGGTTCCTCTCCGACGAGCCAAAAGAGCTAGATGCTCTACCTATAGGGAGGTGGTTCCTCCTCCTTCACACATTTCAGAGACTTATGGAATCGAGTTCACAAAGAAAGAGCATTGGGAGATATTTTCCAAGCTTTCAACTCGGTCACTCTTTTCTACTAGATTCTATGATTCGTCGGCGACTACTTTTTTGGGTATCGACGATGATGTAAGATTTTTGGCTCGAAACTTGGGGTTAGAGGAATTCCTAAGCCTTCATGCTCCAACTTACTCTTGGATCACTTTTGAATTCCTCACTTCACTTGAGGTCATTGAGGAGGATTTGGAAGGTGAAACTTCTAGAAGAATTTCTTTTCAAGTTTTCAACAATGATCATTCGGTGCCTCTTTCATATTTTAATGAGGTTTTCAAGTTTTCAACTCCTAGTGAGGATGTCCCACTTGTGTATGAGGTATTTTATACTATGAAACGTGATAACAATTATAGTGAATTCAAGTGCTGGAGGCATATTTCTGTCGAGGACTCATATAGTCCTCAATATTCTAAGGCGGCATCGATTATTCATGCGGCCTTGAGGTATTTTAGCCGGCTCCTCACATATGCTTTCTTCTCCAAGGAATCCCTTGGTGATATCTGTCGAGAGGAGTTGAATTGGTTATGGCTAGTGGATAAGCCATTTGAAGAGAGGGTAGCGGTCATCGACTTCGCTTCGCATTTGTTCGACCGTTTCATTGATATAAAAGTGGTGTTATTCTCTTTGGAAGTATCCAATTGGGGGGTATGATTACCATTTTGATCCTTTCTCTTAACAAGAAGTATGAAGCAATGCTCGAGTCGCTTGTCCCAATCCATGATAAAAGGGAGAAAGCTCCTTACCACTTCTTAAGCATCTATGCCATGATTAATCAACGTTTTTTTTAGCGCACCACCAAAGCAAACTTGTGCATTTGGAAGGTTACAA